TATATATATATATGAAGTCTGTTATATATATATATAACAGACTCAAAGGAAATAGTCAATGACTGGTTTAGTGGTCAACCGTTCTGATTTAAAGACAGCACCGCAATTATTGGTAACCCTGAAAGGATGGCACAGCTGATACTTTCTCCGACACTCTTCTTCTTCCTGGCCTCCTTCTCCTTCTTTTCCTCCATCTCCTCCGCCGGAGATACACTCAGTCCATCTCATCACCTCTCTCACGGCGAAACCCTAGTCTCCGCAAACGGAACCTTCGCACTCGGCTTCTTCACCCCTCCGAACACTACCAACCGCTATATTGGCATTTGGTACCACAATCTCGCCGTCCATACCGTCGTCTGGGTTGCAAATCGCCGGAATCCAATCCCCAATCTTAATGCAACACTCTCCCTCACTGCCGACGGTGCATCTCTTTATTTAGTGATCTCCGGTAACTCTAATCACTTTTGGTCTACCCCTCCCTTTCCCAATTCCATCTCCGATCCAATTGCCCAACTCCTCGATACCGGAAATTTTGTCGTGAAATCTACCAGCTCAAACTCTATCTTATGGCAGAGTTTCGACCATCCGACAGATACATTGCTTCCCGGTATGAAGTTTGGTCCCAATCTGAAAACTGGCATCGACCGCAATCTTACATCGTGGCGGAGTCCATCCGATCCGTCGCCCGGAAAATATACATTAGCAATGGATCCTATAGGCGTTCCACAGCTGGTGATCCGCGATTCCTCTGGCAGCTGGATCTGGCGTGGCGGACCATGGAATGGCTTCGGGTTCTCTGGCGCCGGCCCAGATCATTTCTTTGATCTCGCCCTCTACAGAGAGTTCAGCTCAACTTTCAAATCCACTCCAGAGGAGATATACTACAGCTACAGCGCGGTCGATAACGTCATTTCTCGGGTGAACATGCATCAAAACGGGACAGACAGACGGTACTTATGGAAAGCGTCATCGCAGCAGTGGAATCTCGAATGGTCAGCACCGAGCGACGCTTGTGACTTCTTTCCTGCTTGTGGAACCAACGCCGTCTGTGACTTGAAAAGCTCGCCGATATGCCGGTGCCTTGATGGGTTTGATCCGAGGAATTCGATAAGTTGGAGCCAGGGAGATTGGTCAGATGGGTGTGTCAGAGTGGGAGCGCTTGGCTGCGAGTCAAATGGAACCGATGAGTTCATGGTGGTGCGCGCTTCTAAACTGCCGGACACGACGGAAGCGATAGCGGATATGAGCTTGGACTTAGATGGTTGTAGGGCAAGGTGTTTGTTGAACTGCTCATGCAAGGCTTATGCGAGCGCTGATCTTACCAGGGGAGGAATTGGCTGCATTATTTGGATGGCGGAGATTAAAGATCTGAGAGTTTATGTGAACGGCGGGCAAGATCTCTACGTCCGGGTTACGCCAAAAGGCAAAGGTACGTATTGTTCATTGTAAAAAAAAGGTTGGGTGTTTTCATCTTTGATGCTGTCTTCAAGAAATTTCTATCATCAGTCACGGATCCCAATACATTCATAGCAGGAGATATTCTAAATTCAAATTCATGATCATTAGAGCCCTGCTTTTAACAAATTTATAGTAGACTTGAGTATCTCGACATGAATAACTCAATGATGCCAAAAGGTTTCAAATCTAATCTCAATAAGCTCAAATCAAACACTCTAAGTGTAATTTAAGGCTTTGGTATATCAATTGAATGACTAAATGACCTTAAAATTTGGCACGCTTATAATCAAATAGCGCGGCTTAACGAGAGGAATCTAATAAGCCTAAAATCACTCAATTTTGAGTCATTAGTCATTAAGACACATACTCAAAAAATTATGTGATAAAGGAAATTAATATGGATTGCCCGATGGAGTGCTTTGCTAGATTAATCAAATTTATCAAAATATGAAAAAACTATAAATATGCCACCATTCTTCACTTGGAAGAAGAGAAAAAGAGAATAGTGAATTAATTACTAAAACTTAATACTTATAGTACCGACGGTTGTCGCCAGTCACCCGAGATTGCGATACAGTTCTTGGGAGACATTAGGATAAATAATGTTTTATTGCAAAAACTTCAAACACTCAACATGAATACAAATAAAAACATCTACAATTCGAGAGGTAGGAAATCTCTTCCAAACCTTAAACCTAAGACTCTAGACACAATCTCATGCATAACCTCAAACCTAAACATATTAGCTTTATTTATACTAACTAATAATAAATGACAAAGGACTAAATTATTCTTAGGCATACAAAAACAAAATTGCCCTAAAGCTAGGCATCGACGTGCAAAATTTAGGCCGGTACTTTACATGACTCCTCCATAGATGACTTTCTCTGGGTTCTGGAGACATCCTGAAGTTTATAGGGAAAAGTCGTATCTGAACTCCTGGAGTTGTTCGAGGCCCGACCTGCAGAGAGATATTCATGAAGATGACCTCGACTGTAGGGTCAACTATTTATGTTTATTTATGGAGAGCAAGGACAAATAATTTTGTGGAGTTATTATTTAGTGGCTTTGGTTAATTTTTTCATTTGTTTTATTGGATATGTGATTTGAATGTTTTTCTTTCTAGCACGAACAATTTAGAAGTGCTATGTATTTATTTCTTCTCATTATTCTTATTATACTATGGCTTTGGTTTTTTTGTGGGTTTGTGAGGTCCATAATGAGACGTTCGACCTTGTGGGTTCTTCTGGGTGGTCGGTTAGTCGTTGTTGGTTGGTTTTACATGTGAAATCCTGATAAAGACAACCAAGTTTTTCTATTTTTTCGATGTTGTAGTTTTTTAGGTATTTTTGGATGACCTTTTTCGATGGTTTTGGTGTACTGAGTTCTCTATGACCTCATACTCGCACAAATCTGTAATTAATTACTGTTTTTGTCAATTTATATTTGTGTTATGACTAATGAATTGTCTTTTGAATTATTTCGGGAAGATAAGCTCTAGGATTTTAAGGACCTCCGGACGATTGTTCTGTCACTGCGTACTTCAGATTTCCCTACTAGTGTCACGCCAGACACATAGCTACGGGGGACAGTTATACATGTGCCCGTGGAGAATCACGAAAAGTGACTTCTTCCGGTGGAGAGACAGTCTGATAGATTCCACCGCCGACAGTAATAGTGGTTGGATGGTATTCCTAGAGAACGACGTATTTAGTGACATACGCCTACGCCCATCTTTGGGCGTTGACAGAGAGTAGGGTGCCTTTGCGCCCCCTTTGGGCTCTCAAGCACTCATATTTTTGGCGCAGACGAAGGAGTAGGCGCTTCAGCGTTGGTCTTGGGCACTTAAGCGCCCGATTTATTGGGTGCGATCCCGAGAGCTTGGCGCTTAGGTGCCAAATCTGGGAGGCTAAGTGCCCGATGTAGTTATTTCGCTTTGTGGGTTCTTAAACCAATTTTAAACAACATAATGATGAGTTGGGTGTAGGTCTTCCTTTGGTGTTTTTCAACAAGTTTCTGATAAAGGAGAGAAGAGTTGGAGAGGAGGATTTCTGAGATTTCGATATTTGTTTTTCCTGTTGGATCGGAAAAGGAAGATTGTGGAGCGTTCTTTAAGTTTTTTCGTGTTAGTGTGAAGAAGAAACTTATATGAGTTCTTTGTAAAACTATCTGATTTTCATAGTGAATTTGTGGTGGTGTGTCTTCGTGATTTTTTTCTTGTTCTTGGATTTTTTTCATGTAAATTTTGGTGTGTTTTTATGGTTGTTTTGATTTTGCTTCTGTGCTTAAATATATTATTTCAGTTTTCTTGAATCCTATTATTTTATTCCATAGTGAAACTAGAATGAGATTCTTTCGGAGTAGTTTCTCTCAACATCCGCATCTCAAAGTTCTAAACAATTTTAACTACACAAATGACCAGTTTGTAAGTAAATTAAGATCGCGGAGAAATTTACACCAAATCACAATTTAAACCAAGTCACATTTATTCACCAAAACCTATAGTTTCTATTCATCATTTTATGAGAGAAATGAGAAGTTTAGTTCCTAAGCATGTTTTGTAACACAAAAGCCACAAACTGATTCATTCCATTTAAACAAATACAAAATTTTTAAGATAAGGAAACAAACACAGAAGCTCTGAAAAGGAAACAACCACAGAAGATCGAGAATTTTCCCTCCGATGTGCTCTTGATCCTCTCCAATGTCTCTTACAATCTCCCTCACAGAAACCTCATAAATCTCTTACTAGATCACTCCCTTTCCAGAGCAAGTCTCAAAAGAAAAAAAATCCTTCCCTTGGCACTAGAAGTCAGAAAAATGATAGCGAGCTCTTAATACTTGGAATTCAGCATTTTTATACATCTCCCGACAAACAGATGCGTCCCAACTGCTAGATCCGTTAATTTTTGTAGAGGCGCCATTGGTTGGCGCCTAGGCGCCATACTCAGTTGGGTCATGGTGGTGCCTTAGTGCTGGTGTCGCAGGGTATAGGTGTCACAAGTGCAGCGCCTACTTCCAGGCTCTCAGATTTTATGGAAAAAATCTGGATCACCTAGCACCTGGGCGCCCATGGGCAGCGCCTAGGCGCCCAATCTCTAGTGCCTAGGTGCCACTATCGCGACATCTACTTTTCAGGCTCTTTGTTTGTTCATGAATTTGTTCCGTGTCTGGCGCCCAACACTGCTTTGCTCCAATTCGCAATGTTTTCAACTCCATTCGATTTTCTTCCCTGAATCTTGCAACACGACACCAAGGCATTTCTCAAAGCATAATATAAACATATAAAGTGGGTTAATTAATGTACAAAATAAGCCTAATTCACTCACACATGTCAACATACATGCAAAATTTAAAGTAGCTCTATTATAGCAAGTTTTGCGAGGGACAATAATTCGCTTTTTAAGAATTGTAGAGATTATAATTAAGAAGGCTTTAAATTTTAGGCGTGGGAGATAGTATCTTAGAAACTCCTAGCTGTTGGAGTTGATCTAACTATATTAATAATATTCTAATTCAATAGGGATATTGAGAAATTTAAAGAGGGGAGCTCAGCTATAATAGAGGTGCCATCCTGCTCATTTTTAACACAATATAAAGATTGATTCGGCTTTCCAAAGAAGCTTATTGATTGAAAACTCCTTTTTCAAATTCTTTTTTACAACAAAAATATTGTCACATATTTTATTGACTTCATGTTTTACTACTTTTTGTGAATAACAGGGAGGAGCGAGAGAAAGTTATGGATTTTTATCGTAACATCAGTAGCTTTTGTGCTGTTCGTTCTAATAGTTTTGATGTGCGTCTTTATGACAAGAAGAAGAAAACACAAGGGTATGTTTTTGAAATATTCTTATTTTACTTTGATTAGATTAAATATAAAGCGAACTAAACTTTTTTTAATTCTAATCAGAAGAGCAACCATCGATTTCCTCTGCAAATTATGATCATAAAATTATGCATAAATTTGAAGCTGGTAGAGAAGGAAATTCAGAAATATCATTGTTTAAATTTTCTCAAATTATGAGTGCTACAAACAACTTTTCTGATAAGAGCAAGCTTGGAGAAGGTGGTTTTGGGCCTGTTTATAAGGTAACATCTATATATAAAGTATAAACTTTTCAAGACTATGTGAAACGCTTCAATGCGTTGTGATATTGATATTTAGCATGCAAATTTTCTTATAATGGGGATAATTTCAGGGCAAATTATCAGATGGAGAAGAGGTGGCGATCAAAAGATTATCTACTACATCTCAGCAAGGGTTAGAGGAGTTCAAAAATGAAATTTTATTAATTGCTAAACTTCAACACAGAAATTTAGTGAGATTATTAGGCTGTTGTATTCATGGCGAAGAGAAGATGCTGATATATGAACTCATGCCTAATAAAAGCTTGGATCTCTTGCTTTTCGGTGAGCTCTTGCAATCAAACCATAAATTTCATTGATAATGGTATTATTCTTTTTATTTTTCCAAAAGGCAATAAACAAACATAATTTTTTTTTTTTTTATGATATTTTTTGAAATGCTATTTTTGAAAGTCGTCTTAGATGGTTTGTTCACATTAAATGTCGACCATCTGATTATCTGATTAGGAGAGTATATGTTTTAGATTCGACTTATGTTAAGAAAAGCAAAGGTAGACCTAGGAAGACTTGGGCTTATTGTATAAAAAATGATCTTAATTTATTAGAACTAAATGAAAATATGCATTAACTAGGACGCAATGGAGAAAAAGGATTCATGTAGTGGGATTAATCCGACCCCACGTAGTGGGATTAAGACTTTGTTATTGTTGTTGTTGATATTCTTTGAAATGCTGTTTATGTTCTATTTTTTTTGCAGATATTGAAGAAGGTTTTAAATTATATTGGGAAAGACGTTTTCAAATAATCGAAGGAATAGCTGAGGGGCTTCTTTATCTTCATAAGCACTCCAGATTAAGAATCGTTCATCGGGATTTAAAAGCGAGCAATATTCTCTTAGATGCTGAGATGAACCCTAAGATCTCAGATTTCGGCTTGGCGAGAATTTTCGATTCTAATGATACCCACCAAGCAAACACTCGAAGAGTTGTTGGCACCTTGTAAGTATCTGAACTACTTGGTAATTTTTTTGAATGAACTCTGATTAGGGTTCATTTGGTTGCTTGTAATCATGGTAAAACCCAACCCATACTTTTAAGTTTTATCTAAATCTCAATAGCTTGATGTTGGCATTCGTAAATACATAGGTTCAATAGTTCAAGAAAATCACCTCGATGATTAATTTCTAAATATCAATATTTTGAGTGATCTGTAAGTAATTATCAAGGTTGTGAAAATCGAACCAGACATTGAACAAGTAGAAGAAGAGGTTTAAGATTCAAGGTTCAAATGTTGAATTGGGTTTGAACTGGAGGTTTAACCGGATGACTTAATAAATTATAAATGTATTTAAAAATGACAATATATATGATTTACATTACGCTCAATTCATATCTATTTAAATAATTAAAACCTAGAATTCAATTTTAACATATGTCATTTTATCTATGCATGAAAACATGTATTTCACTTTCTAAAAATTAAGATAATTATATGTTTTATGTTATATGGATAATTTTGGTGGTATAATAGTAAAATAAAAAGAATTTAGGTGTTAGATATGTAAATAAATAAAATTGAGTGATATGTATGTAAATTGAATCTTAGTAATAATGATTTTTTTGATGTGATATGAGCGATTTGGGTGGTGTAAATATAAAAATTAGTGTTTAGGTGTTAGATATGTAAAATACATAAAATTGAGGTGGCATGTATGTAAATGTCCATGAATCAAACGGCTCCAAAGCCGGTTCGCCGGTTCAGGGGTTGAACCGATTCTGGGTGGTTCCATGCAGAAGGTTTTTTTTATGTCAATGTCAATCGGAACTGGAACTATGACCGGTTCACGGTCGAACTGGTCGAACTGGCTTTTTGATTTTTGAAATTTAAATTCTCACAACGCTTTCTAGTTTAAAATCTCGTTTTTTATGTTCAAGCCTTAAAAATTGGACTTTTATGTATTCTTTTGGATGCTAATTAGTTCTTCTTTGCCACATATTTAGTGGCTATATGTCTCCAGAATACGCTTTTAATGGTCTTTTCTCTGTCAAGTCGGATGTTTTTAGCTTCGGAGTTCTGCTTCTCGAGATTGTGAGTGGGAAAAAAAATGCTGGTTTTCATGAATCTGATTCTTGGTGTAATCTTCTTGCTTATGTAAGTGCTCCATCTTTTTTTTTTTTCATATTTTTGGTCATTTATATAAGAAGCATGATTTTAAAAATCAGATTAGATTTGCTGGTTCGACCGTGAACTGATCTTTTGGCCGGTTCGTTCCAAGCCCAAAGCTGTTTTAGCATAAAATCGGGATTTAACTAACAAACTCGTTCAATACTTGAAGAATGACTGATAGTCTAATTTTAACATTTTGGTTTTGATCGGATGAATAAAATAAGATATAAGATATTTAAATTAAGGGAAATTTACATATGTAGCACTCAACTGTTATGAATTTACATATCTCACACCTAAACTTTCATATTTACACGCATAACACTTTATCTATGCATGAAAAGGTGGATTTGACTATTAAAAAATGGCAATTAGTGCTATTTTTTATATGATACGGAAGAATTGAGTACTTTGCTTGTAAATATGAAATTTTTTATGTGAGATACTTAAATCCATGGGAATTGCGTGCTATATATATATGTAAATGCCCCATAAATTATACATCTAATTGCATCATTATCATTTTTTTAAAGTATATAAAATAAATTTAATATTTATTAAATCATCCGATTCATTTTGAGATTCAACCCCGATTGTATCATTGAATCTTGAATATATCCTTCTTCTAATTCCATGTTTCCTCCAATTTTGACAGCCTCAATTGAAATCAAATAAGAAGATGAAATTCGAAATAATTTAATGATTTCATGTTTCTTAATCAGGCTTGGGATCTATGGACAGAAGGAAATTGGATTGAATTTGTGGATCCCGCATTAAATAATAATTTCAGGCATGACGAAGTGGCAAGATGCATATATGTGGCTCTTCTATGCGTACAGGAGAGATCAGAAGACCGCCCTGTTATGTCTGACGTTGTCACTATGCTCAGCAGTGAGAGTTTATGCTTCGATAGCATTAAGCAACCAGCATATTTCGCCATGAACAATGCTTCAGATTTTGTACGGCCTTTAAAGGTAAATATTTCTTCTAACGCCCTCTCTTTCTCGATTATTGCAGGCCGTTAACTGTAGGCTTTTTTGTGCTGTAAATTTTGTAATTTAGATTAAAAAATATGTAAATATGTTAGGGCTAGTTTGATGCTATATCCAGCAGAGCTAATTTAATTGAAGCTGATAGAGATGAGTTACTATATTAGCTGCAAAATTTTGTAGGAATTTGTTCTGTACGAGTTATGTTATGAAAATTCTGTTTTTTAAGGTGCATTTACATAAATACCACCCAGTTCATATGTATTTACATATCTTACATCTAGACTTTTGCATTTTACAGTTTTAACACCCCAATCTTCTGTATTTTATAAAAAAATAACAGCATTTTAATTTTTAAGAAAATGAAGTACATCTTTTCATGCAATGGTAAATTGGTATGTATGTAAAAATTGAAGTTTGGGCGTTAGATATGTAAATACATCAGAATTGAGTGTTATGCATGCAAATCTTCCTTTTTAACTTTTTTTTTAATGAATGTCACACAAGTGGAAAAAATTTGCGTACATAAGACGTACGCAGAGCTGTGTACTTCTGTAACTCGCAAACAAGTTATAGGGAGGATTTTGAAAGGTTATAACAGCATTATACCCTCTGTAACCTCTCTGTAACCTGTTTGTATATGAAAACAGAAGCGCGGAACTTATTAGAAGGCACAGGTAGGTTACAGGGAGGTTACAGGGGGTATAACTCGGTTATAACCTCCTAAAATCATCCCTATAACCTGTTTGACGTACGCAGCTCTGCGTACGTCTTATGTACGCAAATTTTTCTCCACACAATTCTTTTGAAATTACATATCTAATACCTATATTATAATTTTTTTACATTTATAACACTCAAATCTTTCATGTCACATCTAAAATATCACTTTTGCTAACTTTTGAAAAGTGAAACACACAATTAAGTGGTATAAAGTAAAAAATTAATGTTTTGATGCTAAATAAATATATGAGAATTGTGTGGTTTACATGTGAATCTTCCTTTAATTTAATTATTTTGGTTTAAGAAGTTTGTTATTGTGTTTCTTAAGCTCAAACAGAACTGTTTTCTCTTTTGCGGGTTTTACATTCCACCCCACCCGATTCCTAATGTCTTTACATATCTAAAGGTAGCATTTTCCTTTTTTACATTTTTACCACTTAAATCTTTCATATTGCGTCAAAATCACCACTATTTTATGCACAAGTAAAATGACATATATGTAAAAATTGAAATTTACGTGTTGGATATTTAAATACATAGGAATTCAGTGGTATGTGTGAAAATCTTTCATTCTTTTTAATTGGAAATATACATAGTACTTCAAATCTAACACCTTAAACTTTCAGTAAAAGTACTTTTTAAAAGTTCAAAAATAGTGGTATTTTCTTTTGTAAGGTTACAGATTTGAATGTTTGTAAACATGAAAGTTTAGGTGTTAGATATGCTAATAAGAAATACGTGGTTTTTTAAACTATTAAATGTTTAAACTATTATATATATGTATGTATGTATGTATGTATGTATGTATATGTGTATGTATGTATGTATGTAATCATAGAGCTCTATTTTTCTTTGAATGAGATAATAATGCACTTAAATTTGGCGTCTTGTAATTATACTAAAGCTAGAAGTAGCGGGGGTGGTGAAAAATTGATCGACTGGTGATGCTAGTTTGATGACAATGATTCGACCAAACTGATCGGATGATGTTTATTTGGTGGTCCTGGATGTTTCTAAGGCAATTGTTGTTAGACGATGGTTATTAGATAGTGCTGGGGGTTTCACTGAGTCAAGCTGACTTATTGGCTGACTTTGGCTCAGCTCAATAAGCGGCCTGTGAGCCAAGCTAGATGAGCTAACATTTTAAGCTCAAGTCGTTATATACAATGAAGTTAAGGTGATAATGGTCAAATGATGTGGCCAATAAACAATAAACGAGGGACAAAATTTGGGCCACACTAATTATTGGTGGTAATTGTTAGCATAGGTATCAGGTATAGCTATAACATCGTTTGAATCTACAAGCACCCTTCAAACTCAAGCCTATGTCTTATTCATGTGGATAATGATGCTCTACTAATAGGCTTTGGCATTTTGATATTTTTAACTAAATTTTTAACACGTAATCAAATGGCTCACATTGATTCAATTGATTATAGATTTGTTAAATCCTGATTTGTCGTGAATCAAACTCTAATGGTTAGAGTGTAAGAGAAGAGGGAGATAGAGAGACAAAGAGAGAAATGAACAATAAATGAATGGGTAAACGTCTTGTCCATTAGTCATTTCTCATAAAACGATAAGAGAGAGGGTATAATATATTATATTACATTCTACCTTAGCTTTAATTGATTCATTACATATTATTTTAGGTATTTTACATATAAGAACCTATCGCTCAGCTATTTTATGACTTCGTCAGTTGGGCTAGCATGACTTTGACTCAGTAAGGCCAGTTTAGTCGACTTGACTGAGTCGGGGCAGCTGGTCGACTGAATTTGATTAATTTTAGGTCGACATGACTAACTAGGTTAGCTAGACTTTAGCAATATGTTGATTTAGTCTGTTATTGACCTTGATCTTTGAATAATGAGCTTCTGCCGGCATAACAAGACTAGTCATCGAGCTAGTGTGAATCACTGTAACTCTGTAGATAGCTCATTCCATGAAAAGGAAGGTTCTTCAGAATGATTGTGAGACTTTGTTGCATTATCATTATTTGGAACTGATGAAAAACATCTAGGTCGTATGTGGGATGGTTGGTGATGGCGTGGAACTAAATTCTTTCCTCGAGTTGGATCTAATGAGTGGTAGTGGATGCTTTCGTTGGGTTTTTCTGTGACAGTTAGCTCAGGTGTTGATATTTCTGTTTAATCCCGATCGGCACAAACTTAGATCGTTCCTTTTGTCCTTCTCCTGGTTTTGTTAGCCTTTATTCTTAACTCAGATGGATGCATCCAATCAGATATGAGAGTCCTCTTGGTCTCCTGTCTGTGGTTCATTCTTTGTTGTACTTCTTTCCTTCTAGACAGTTAAGGCCCTGTTCAAGATTATTCCTTGTTCATTTAAGGTTCTCCAGATTCTGTAGTCTTAGACTTCTCAGATTCTTCTTATTAGGATGCTTGATTTTAATATAAGCACTAATTATTATCTCAAATATTTCAATCTTCTTCGGATGTTTAATTTGAGCTTTTTTAGGACCTTTTGTTTGCTTAGAAGAAAGCTGGGCTATAAATTTGTTAAACTTGGAGGTCATAATTTAAATTTTATTTTTAAATTTTATATTTAAAAATTGCATCTGGATTTATGATTGATGGCATCTCAAAGCTGAATACAAGCATGACTATTCTGAATTGATTATAACATGATTAGGGTTTTTTCCTGTTTTAAAAGGTTTCAGCATGAAGCTTTCTCCTTTTCTAAAACACTCGAAAGAAAAAAAAAAAAAACATTCAATTTTCCCGACCTCACTACTCGGACCCGTCGAAAACTTCCACTGAACTCCACACGAAAATTCCGCACTTAACTATTTCACATTGGAATCATCGTTGGTGTTGCGAATCTGCAGACGAAGCACGTCGGACCACTTGCTACAAAAACTCCGGCAACACATGTCTGGATTTGATGTCGTAGACCTCAAACCACGAACCCAAATTACGAGCTTGAAGTTCTGATACCAATTGTTATGTGAAAATAATACGGAAAGGTAAAAATTCACACAGTAATAATCAAAGATAAAAGATTTACGTGGATGGGGATTACAACTCAACACATTTCAGTCTCTCGTAAGCTCCAGTTCCCTTTTATAAAGAAGGATTATAACATGTAAAGAAAAAAATAAAAAAGAAAACAAATCAAATCAAATAAAAGCCATTTAAATACATCAGCATTTACAATTCTTATATATTTATATATGAAGCACCTATATTTTGCTTTTTACATGAATATCACCACTCAAATCTTACATATCATGCCAATAATATGTATATATATATATATATATATATATATATA